AGGCTTAATTCCAGGAGCTGGAGAAGCCAACACACCTCTGTGCGCCGCCATAGCAATACGTTTTTTGAGATGCTAATACACTGTTCCCTGATATAAAAAATCTTGTTGCCACTGTTATGCATAATTTGGCATGATGCAGTCTAATGAGGACTCAAATGCAAAGATAATTTGAAGAGTAAGATGCTCAATGAAAAACCATTATGGTTTTCTGGTACTATGTTGGGCAATTAATGCTTTTTGACATTCTGTCTGAAGGTTCAATAATGTATTGGAGATGCATTATGATTATCAAATACAATGAACATTGCGCCAACATTGAAATGTGGGACAAAATGCAATCATTGTAAACAAATGTAGATTTAAACTTTTTAAAGGTATGTTCAAAGTATTATGTTCATTGATGATTTCTTGGTTAATGTCAAGTTGTCATAACAAAGACATTTTGAATAATGTCAACTTTGTATTAAAAGTGTCATAATTTACTGAATGACGCTTTTTGACAACAGTCATAAAAATTCATGAAGGCTTATTCATGTTCATGACAGGTGTTATGTCATGTTTATGACAGTGTCATGACAGTCTTATTCAACCCCCTTCAAATAAAGTGTTACCTAAGATGGTTCTTTGAACTTGTACAAAATAAACTTGTCAGCTCCTTAAAATTTTACACTTAAATATTGAACAATTTTAAATCTTTTAATTTATGCATGCTGAAACCATCCATCCCTTTTCTGTACACCCTTATCCCTTAGTGGGATCGGGAGGGTTGGCGGTGCCTATCTCCAAGTAATGAGAGGCGGGGTTCACTCTGAACAGGTCGCCAGTCTGTCGCAGGGGCAACATAGAGACAGAAAGGACAAACAACCATGCACACACACACACACACACACACACACACACACACACACACACACACACACACACACACACACACACACACCTAGGGAGAATTTAGAGAGGCCAAATTTGGACTGTGGGAGGAAGCTGGAGTACCCAGAGAGAACCCACATGTGATGCCCACTGGTGTGTACCCACAAAAATGAAAAAAGAGCATGCATTTCTTTAAACGTTTATGGGGTTATGATAAGAAGATATTTTATTTAACAGGGCTTAATGACGATGGGTGCAGTAACGGTGTTTCACCGGTAGGTGGCGCATGGGGTCTCTGAGCTGCCTGTTGCTCTGCCATTTCTCATAAGATAAGGTAATTTTATTTATGTAGCACATTTTCAGCAACAAGGCAATTCAAAGTGTTTTACATGAGTTAAAATTAAATACAAACAAAATAACAAACCAAAGGAAAGAAAAAAGAGGAAAGAAAACTAATCTAATGTTCTAAAGTATGTAAACTAAGTGCTCCTGTTCAAGTGTTGCTAAGTATCTAATTCCATTTCTAAATAGTGAGTACTCTACAGTTTCTGATCAAATAAGCTAAAGAATGACTGATCTAAATCCTTTTCTGGGTTAAAAGTAATATAAACTAAGCAGAGACTGTTCCTGTTTAGTATTTCTGGATTCCAAGTTCGTAGTTATTCTAATTCTGATTCTGATTCCATTTCTGGGCTGTATAACATTGATCTAAATAGTGCGTACTCCACAATTTCTGATATTACAGTATTTTCCGCACTATAAGGCGCACTGGATTATAAGACGCACCTTCAATGAATGGCCTATTTTAAAACTTTTTTCATATGTAAGGGTTAGGCTATTCTATGCGCATTATAAGGCGCATAGAATAGACGCTACAGTAGAGGCTGGAGTTATGTTATCCATCCACTAGATGGAGTTGGACTAAACGGAATGTCAACAAAACAGTCAGACTCTGGTTGGCGAGGAGACCCTTCCGCGACTGGGCCAGGGCGTGGTTGGACGATGGTGACCCTTCTCCGTTCGTGCACAGCATGTTCATGGAGAACGTGGTGCTAAATGACCTGCAGACGACCTGATTCTAGATGGTCGGTAGGTAGATAGGTCAGTCAAACTTTATTAATAGATTACAAACCAGCGTTCTGACAACTATCCCAGCATGCACCGCGCACTTCTTCTTCTATGGGCGAAAATGAAGTCGGCAGCTGCTTACCGTAGTTGCTACCCCTAACCCTAACCCTAACCTGTCAATATTGGTCCATATATAAGACGCACCGGATTATAAGGCGCACTGTCGGCTTTTGAGGAAATTGAAGGTTTGTAGGTGTGCCTTACAGTGCGGAAAATACGGTACTAATATACTAAAATAATCCTTTTCTGGGTTAAATAGGGAGTACTCCACCCTTTCTAACAAAAAAGAGGAAAGGACACATTAGGGCAGGTGGCAACATCCAGACAAAACAAAGGAACACCCCTGGCAGAGTCCGATAGAGCTGTTGTTATCGAGGGAAAAAAGACAAAGCAAAATATCAATTTTTCTTGACAGAAACTCATGTGTAAGTTAAAAGGAAAAACTAAATATATATTTATGCTTTTAATTCTTATCAAAATATATATTTATTCTTTTATTTCTTATTATGTCGGTTTTGGTCCTCCATAGTTTTGGAAGGTTAAGCTGTGATTTAATGCATTCACTTGAAGTAGTTTGTCTTCAAAGATGGTTATACCAGTTTACAATAGCTTAACATACATGCCCATTAAATGTCACTGTGTGTTTAATTATGCATATAAAGTGCAGTCAATTGAAAGTGCATGTTACCTGAGGAAATTGTGACAAAATATGATGTGATTATTTCTGGTTTAAGAAAAGCTAATGTTTATGATGGAACATGTCTACATAGACTATATATACAGTAAATTACTGAACTATAAATTGGGATGTATTGATAATAAAATGAGCTGGTTTATTCAATAAATAAGCTGAGAGAAATTGGAGTAACACAGACTGTGTCTCCCATGTGCTCATTTAATTGCTGTTTGTCAGCTTCATCATCTGCTGCTAACAGGTCCGTAACCCTTGCACCCGTTATACACGCATGCACAGGGAGAACATGTAAACTCCATGCAGAAAGACCCCAGGCTGGGAATCGAACCCAGAACCTTCTTGCTGCAAGGCAACAGCTCTACCAACTGCGCAGCCTGTGTGCTGAAACCATAAAATTAAAGTTAGCAGCATTGATAATCTCAAACAAATGTTACATTTATGTATCTGTGGTCTGTGTTAAAATATTAGCATTTATGGGCCCCTGGAGCCCTGACTGAATTTGGATTAAACAGAAGTGCAAATAATTGATATTAATTTTAACTGTATATTTTGATTTGTTGTTATTAAGACTAGTTGTGGGTTTAGATAGCATTTCACTGGAGATGTTTTCCCGTAACATTTAATTACCCAGTAATATTTTTACATTTCTTCTCTTTTAATACAAAAACACGTGGGCCACTGGAGGACCGCCTCGGTGCCCCGACAACCGGGCTTAGCAAGTTTTGGGTGGGAAACCCTGCACCTTGGCTAATAACTTAGCAATCACTGCTGCAGAGCTGGAGCCAGTTGTTTCGGGGACACTAAGGATTCTGATGTTGCACCTAATCATTTGTCTTTCCATATCCTTGCATTTTTCCTTTAATTCCACCAAATCCTTCTTCAAGCTGTTCACAGTGCTCTGCAGCAAAGTCATCTCACCAGACCAAGTAAATGGGCCACTGCTATTACCACACCCTATTTAGCCAGACTGGAATTCTAAAATAATGCAGAAAACTAACGTAATCCTTCACAACTCCTTCTGTTCGCTGATTGGTCCTGTTGAAAATCAAACAAAGAAATCTAGCTCAATGGGAAAAATCCCAGATGGAGCACTGAAGGGAGATGAGAATCAAGCGGGATCCTCACAAAATCCTTAATCCTCTGTCAGATTTAATATATAGCCAGATTAACCAGTTCTGACAAGTCACAACCCTTTTCAATTTCATTCACTTCCAATCCATGTAATTTCATTAATGTCCAAGCCAATCTCGCAAGAACCCTCTTTGCCAATATCTTCATTCAGATAAAGCAGCCAGTATAATATATGCTGATTAAAGGTCACACTTCACATTTAACTCAGAGGTCATGCAGTCCTTCAACACGCAGTCTGAACAAGAATGTTTCTATCCTTTTTTTACTCATTAGTTTGCCAACACAGCCCTTCATCTTTCCTTACATCCAACACACAAACACACCCAACCCAGTGGGTAATCCACCAGGCGGGGTAGGCGCAGACAACAAATGCCTTTTAATCTGTACTGGCCATATGGCTTGATGGCTAAGAGATGAGGGAGAGATGTTAGCTACAACCCAATGTCCTTCTTATATTAAGGTAAAATGCTGTGCTTTTCTGACATGAAAAAACATCATGATGTTGTTACATTTCTGCCTCAATAAGTAAAGCTGGGATTAGCCCACAACCCTTACCCTAACAGAAAACACAATGAATTATGTCCCAAAAGAGGCAGTCTGGTTTGTTCTGCATTTACCTTAACACAAAACATCAGGCAATACTTAGTTCTAATAGTAGCTGAACTGAGACACGGAAGGAGTTGCAACCCACAGAGGTGTAAAGTAATATGATACAGTAGTTCAACATCCAATCAAGCTTAAAATCTGGGATTTAAAGTCTTCCCGCTGAGAAACATTCAGATGTTTGCTACAATCAGTATTAAACTCAGTAAATCTCACTTAGAGGTTTCTGCAGCACTATGAACAAGAACTAAAATAAAAAATAAAAACATGAATTATATAAACTTGAAAACTGTTACCATGGAAACAGAGATTTTTCATGCCTGGATGAATTACCAGATGTCTCACCATTCCCAGCGAAAGGCCTGACCTCTTAATCTGACAGCATCAGCAGAAAACACAAGTTGTGGTTGTCAATAAGAGACTGTTTAATACAAGTAAAGTGTCATCTATGCAGGCTGGAACTATAGCAAGTTTTGTCCATATTACTTGCCAATAATATGGGCAGTGGTTCAGCTGTGTTATTTCAGCAACCGCTTCAGCAGTTGCTGACTATGCATGTGATGCCATCGGCTGCATTGTGTTAGGTTCTGGGTGGAGGTTGGGGTTGGTTTTCTCCTCTAGGTGGAGTCCTGGAGACGGCTGCTCGGGGGACGGACCTGTTGCGTCAGCTACACACCGGTCAGCAATTACGCTCTTACCTGCAGCTTAAGAGAGGCGGTGGCCAACACTTCGACGCCAGATTGTTGACTAAGTTTTGACCACCCGAGCATCCGGATCAGGACGTTTCGCTCAGACGCTCTGAGGCCCTGGCCGACCTGTCCGTTTCCCCTCCCCCCCGAAAACCAAGGAAAGTGAAACCCAGAATCGCAGACCCCTCCAAGCCTTCTCTATACCACCCACACCCGTAAGTTCTTCTGTTTATCTCTGAAGCTACGCAAGGTTCCACCACCTCAACTCACCATCTCCCTTTTCCCCTCTCAGTGTGCTGTTGGTGCTGCTGCCCGCCGCTCGCACCAGTTGATTTTCCTTCCCGCAACAATAAACCCATTGAACTTTCCTTGTTCTCCTGGCTGTGTACTTGCATGTGGGCTAATCGAGTATCATCCGACATGACACATTGTTGCTAACACAACATATCAGTGTGTTTGTGGTGGTTCTGATGATCTTGATCATGCCATGCTCTCAGCTACACTTTCAACTTTTCAACAGTTTGTCAGCTGTTCTGCCAGGGAAAACAAAACACTATTTGTTTAATTTAAATTTCAGCAATCCAAACTTCTCCAAGGCATGAGCTCCTCTTGGCAAATAAGATGACAGCCTTGTTTTTTTTCTGCTCAGGCTATAAACCTGTTGTTCAGAGGTAAACTGTGACTAAATAACAGTGAAAAGATGTTTAAAGGAAATTGAAGAAGGCCTGCAGGGTTATCTTGAGGGTACAGACTGGGAGGCTCTGTGCCAGCAAAATGGACTAAAAGAGTGACCGGTGATATAAACCTCTATGAGAACAAGATCATCCCCACCAGAACTGTTAAATGTTTCCCTAACAAAGTTTTTATCAGGGTTTACCCGAGATCTCTCTAAAATGATGGGGGCGTTATGTCAGCCATCCAATGGATTTATTAAATAATCTTATGTAATAAATCTACCATGTTTTTCAGTTAAAAAAACGTTGAAAGTTGACAGGAAATAATAACTACGTTATTATGTGTTATTAGAAGACATTCCGATACCCAAGCACCAACTATAAAATCTTAAAAAAGACAACCATAAAAAAATACAATGAAAATAATTATTAGAATATTGCACTTCAGTTGTTTCATGTATCTGAAAATGTTTGGCTCTTACTTGTTAGTTTATTCACTGAAGTTGTTAGTGTGAAAACCAGTAAAAGTCTGTGGTTACAGAGTTCCAGTGAATAAAAAAACACCTGACCTCAGTCTCCTTGTGTGTTCACATACTGACTTTATTGTTGCCATTGTGCTTCCAACCCTTTCACCAAAAAGATTCTTTAACCCATCTTTGCTATCACTGTTACAAGCAGTGTATAAGAAAAAAATCTTATAATAAATAAATAAACAATGCTTAGCCTGGTGGTCCTGCTTTACCACTGGTAACCTGAAGGAGTTGCTAAGAAAAAAAATTGCCTTCCGGAAGGTAGACAGGGAATTATTAAGGAGTATGCAGAAGCAGCTAACAGTTTAACAAATTCCCCTCTGATAGCTAAACCTCACCCTAGGGCAAATTTTGAAAGATTCCAGCAAAGTGGGTGTAAGGAGATTTATTAAATAATCTTATTTTGATATATGACACTGTTCTAATTAAAAAAATTATCAAGAATAACACAGAATATATTCTATCATTATTTTATTCAAGGATCAAATAAAATAAAATGACCATTGAAACTTTCGTCAAATCCAGGAGAGAAGAAACAAATACACACATCGCTTTTTAATATCCACCAGTTACGTAAGCATGGGACTTTCCGTCAGTTTAACTAAGATGTCTTTTCACATCTCTGGCACAGCAGCTGTGTGACCTGGTACAACAGTTCAAGAGTTCAAAAAGATAATAACTTCTTAGAAAACTTCTGTGATCAGGTTTTGTTTTCCCCAGTGAATAAGCCAAACTTTCTTTTTTGTCACAACAGTGGGCATAGCTAAACATGGGGCTAAGCGGAGGGGGTGTGATAAGGACGAAAGAAGCACTGTTGTCAACTAATTCACTTCGTTGCTATTGTTTACTGATTTTTAAGGCTCCTCCAGCAATATTTTTACAGAACTGTGATAATTCTAGTGACTCTTTTTCTGTGTTGTTGACTTTTATAGATCGGGTAAAAAATACCCACAATGAAATAATAACTCAATAGACAAAACTAAAGCATGAGTGGGATAAACAAGAGAAGAAAAAAAATATATAAAAAACAAGAGACAAGAAAATGGAAGAACACAATAGCAAGGAGACTCTGCAAAAATGAGCTTGCTACTATTAGAGGACATATTAGAGCCCTTAAAAAAGAGCTATGCCTTGAGATAACCGTACTTAAGGATGAGCTGAAGACAGAAACGAAGAAAGAAATAACAAATCTCAGACAAGAAATAAACTTAACTACTTAAGTCTATTTCTTGTCTGAGATAAGAAATAGACTTAACTACTTAAGTCTATTTCTTGTTTCCAGAACAACCAATAGCTACAGACACAGGAAATGAACATCAGCAAGGCCCAGACATGCATAGTTGAGGTGGAGGTGTGAAAGATGGACAATAATGAGGTGCTAACAAAGATTTTGGAGCAAACACAGTGAATGCGTGAAAAACTAATCGACCTCGAAGGGAGATCAATCAATCAAATCAATCAATCAAATTTTATTTGTATAGCACATTTCAGCAGCAAGGCATTTCAAAGTGCTTTACATAATTAAAGTAAAAACAGCATGTGAGAAAGAGAGAGATTTAAAAAAAGAAAAAAAACAATTAAAACGTTAACAGTGAGAAAGAGAAATAAAAAGCTGTATAACTTTAGTTGAGACGCCGTCAACTGGGACTTCAACCCTTTGGACTTTAGTCAAAACGCCGTTTGACAAGGACTCTAACCTTTTGGAAAAAGGAGGAACAATATCCAAGTCTTCAGTCTACCAACGGATGTAGAGCTCCACAGCTAGATATCTAGAGAAACTTTTAAAAAAAGGAACTAGAGCTTTCAGATGGGGCCAATCTCCAGATTTAACGAGCCACCGAGACCTCACCCAGAAACCAAGCCTAAGAGAGGCAACCAGATCAATCGTGGTCAACTTCCTACAATTAGAGACGAAAGAAACAATCTTGAAGAAAGCCTGGCAGAAAAAGATTCAGGTAAAGAGCAAACAAATCTACTTTGATCATGATTAACCAACAGAAATTGTTCTGAAACAAAAAGCATATGTGAGTATTAAAAAAATAGGATTGAAGGAGAAAGGAATATGTTTCCAGACACCTCTTGCTAAAATCCGGATACACTGGGATAACGAAACAAAGACATACAAAAGTGCCAGAACAGCAGCACAGGACACGAAGGAAAGGGGCTACACTGCTGAGCCAGGAGAAGACACCATGGCAGCAGAGGAGAGGCAGCGATCAAAGAGGGAAGAACCGAAACCAGACACGACACACAGAGTGAGAGAAAAGCTACAAAACTGCAAGAAAAGAGGTAAGAATAATGAACAAAACTGAACATTCACCAAAGACTAGTTGTTAAACACTTGGGAACTCAGTCCTGAGGAGCTTCTATCGCTGTGTGGTGGAGAGCGTTCTCTGCACCTGCAGCTGCACTGCTGCTAAGAGGACGGCTCTGCAGAGGGTGGTTAAGGCTGTACAGAGGGCTGTGGGGAGCAGCCTTTCCTTTACGATAGACTTCCACACATCAAGATGCAGGAGGAATGTGGTCTGCATCATGAAGGACTCCACCCATCCTGCACACAGACTGTTCCAGCTGCTCCCCTCAGGCAGGAGGCTGAGGAGCATCCAGAACAAAACCACCAGGCTGAGGAACTGTTTCTCCCCTTCAGCCATCAGACTGCTGAACTCAAGCTGCACCAAATGCAGCTTCTGCACATAGATTTGCTACACACAGACACATAACTTAACCTGTTGGTCTCAGGTTGTCATTCACAATGACAGGGGTGTCTCGTGACAGACAGGTTAAATTACTTTATTATTCATTTATTTTTTTATCTATTATTTTGTGTTGAAAATTTCTTAATCTGGGACCTGAGTACAAATGTTGTACCACATCACCAAGCTGGTATGACAATAAGAAATCCTTGAATCGTATATTGCCCTTCAATAATCATTAGATTCAGATAGAGAAGATGGGCATATCCGACTACCTGATGCAATAGTTCACTCCTCCGTTTAGCCCAGTTCACACTACACATTTTTTGCCCAACTCACCTCATATCATAGTGCAGTAAATAAAGCCCAGTCCTCCACTCTTATCCAACTCCTTTCCTTTTTGTTATATCTTTAATTGCTTAACATAAGCTCACAAACTATCGCTATTGCTTCTACATCATCAGCCATGTTTGTTTATTATAAATTTACATGTGATACAGTTGGCTTTTACAGGATTTTCTGTCTGAAATCTGAATGTCGGTGAGAGAAATAGGTTCATGTGTGGTGTGTTGCTCTTGTCCTGTGGCTGAACAACACAAGGCACGACCCTTATACCTACGATTTTTTGTCGACTAGTGTGTGGTCTCATGTTTTGAAAATGGTCGGACAATCGGCCGACTATTCCAAAATTGTGTAGTGTGAGCTGGGCATTACACTAAGGAAATGAGGCAGGGTGGGTCAGTAGAGACCACCGGAGTTGAGCCTTTTTTCACCCACTGTCATCAATAGAGCGCCGATCATGCCCTTGCGCTCCTTAGGCTCCTTCACCTCGCGCCCATAATGGGGTAAATGTTTGTTGGTTAAAAAACCTGAGGGTACTTATAGATTCTGTACTGATTATAGGAAACTGAACAGCATTACAAAGCCTGACTCCTACCCACTTCCTCAGATGGAAGATTGTCGATCAGGTTGGAACTGCAAGGTATGTGAGTAAATTTGATTTGCTCAAAGGTTACTATCAAGTACCCTTGTCTGCTCGAGCCCAAGAGGTGTCTTCCTTTATCATACCATCTGGATTATACTCTTACACTGTAATGAGTTTTGGCCTTAGGAATGCACGTGCCACTTTCCAGCGGTTGATGAACCAAGTGGTTGCCGGGCTGGAAGGTTGTGCTGTATACTTAGATGATGTAGTGGTCTGTAGTGGTCAGTGACACATGGACTGAACACATGCTACGTATCCGGAAGTTGTTTCAGCGTCTTCAGGATGCTTGTCTAACTGTGAACTTAGCTAAATGTGAGTTTGCAAGAGCTACAGCAACTTATTTGGGAAAAGTTGTTGGGCAAGAACAAGTGAAACCAGTAAGAGCTAAAGTCCAAGCCATTAATAGCTTTCTACCTTCTACCTCAAAAAAGAAATTGATGAGTTTTCTGGGGATGGTGGGTTACTATAGAAACTTTTGTGAGAATT